CCATCATCTGCCTGTTTCTAGCCATAACCCCCAGCAAATAGCACAGTGCCTGGCACATGGCAAGTGCTCAATAAATAGTTGTGGAAGGAATGGAAGAATGAAATGCAGTGTGTCCACAATCCAGACCATGCCCCCAAGCCCCTGACTGACCTGATCCTGCACACTTTGCCAGATATGTGTGTGTGTGTGTGTGTGTGTGTGTATTATTGGTTTCAGAGAAAAAGGGAGAGAGGGAGAGAGAGAGAAACATCAATGACGAGAGAGAATCATTGATCACCCTGCCTCCTGCATGCCCCACACGAGGGATCGAGCCCACAATCCGGGCATGTGCCCTGACTGGGAATCAAACCGTGACCTCTTGGTTCATAGGTCCATGCTCAACCACTGAGCCATGCCAGCTGGGCATCAACTTTTAAATTAAAAAACATGTCAAACAATCTTAGAAGATTACAAAGAATACCATTAACAAGCACCCGCCCACATCAGTTTTAACAAATGCTAGCATCTTACCCTACTTGTTTGTAGTTGTAAAACATAGACACATGGTATGCTTGTATTTTTTAGGTTACATCCAAGTTACAATGCACACATCCCTGCAGGGCTGCTGTTTCTACTCAGCATCACCTTGGAGGTTTATCCATGTGATACAGAAGGCACTACCGTCTTACTTACCCACAGTGCGAATATACCACAAGCCACGCATCCTCCCTCCTGGTGGTGGGTGTGCTTCCCTCCTAATGGATTGCCCTTCAACAATGCTACAGTGAACAGGTGTAAGAATTCCTCTCGGGTAAACCTCTAAGAGTGGAACGTGGAGTTCGGGGTGTGCAGTCTCACTGGATGCTGACGAATCACCCCCTCTGGCTATACCAATGGTCAGCCCAGCCAGCAGTGCGGTTCCTGTTTCTTCACACCTTGGCCCAACTTCACCATGATTAGATCTGAAGGCTGGCTCGTCTGAGGGTGTGAGTGGCCTCCCATTGCTGTTCTCATTGGCATTTTTCGGATTACCAGTGAAATGAGCACCTTTTCATTTTTATTAGCCATTTAGGTTTCTTTTCTGTGAGCTGCTTGCTCATATCCTGTGATTGCTTTTCTACTGAGGAAGTTGTCTTTTTCTCATTGGTTTGTAGTTCTTTATATTCCGGATGCTAATTCTTTATTGGTTCCTATTCTCTTTAAAAATATAAACAATTTCCAGCCTGCAGACAGCACTCAGGCACCAACCATGCGCATTAGAAAACCTTGCTTCTTCACTTCATCTCACTCAGATTTTCAGAGCGGACACTCCAGATACAAGTGTGGTCCCCTGGTGCCTCTCCCGTCTCACTCTCCCCAAAGCTACTGTTTGTTCTCTCTCAATGTTCAATTTCAGTTATTTACATACTTTTTCTTTAATAATTCACTATGTTCTACCAGCAAAGATCTAGGAAAAGTTTCTCATTTGACAATTATGACTTACGTTAAAATTCACAATTTAACAATCTTTTTCAAGTACCATAGTTACAAAGTTATGATCTACTCATTAATACTATTTACCCCAAAATCATAAAAACCAATTCTAACATGGGAAACGTATTCTGTAAATGTATCAGCAAGACAATGCTGCCCTGACCGGCTTGGCTCAGTGGATAGAGCGTCGGCCTGCGGACTGAAAGGTCCCAGGTTCGATTCCGGTCAAGGGCATGTACCTGGGTTGCGGGCACATCCCCAGTGGGAGATGTGCAGGAGGCGGCTGATCGATGTATCTCTCTCATCGATGTTTCTAACTCTCTATCCCTCTCCCTTCCTCTCTGTAAAAAATCAATAAAATATATTTAAAAAAAAAAAAGACAATGCTGAGATGACAGCAAAGCTAATTTTGAAAAACTAAGAAGAAAAATGCACACAAGCTAATGAAAATCTACAGTCACAGGTCTCTCCACTAACGTGGGGAGAAAATACCTCGTCTTTTGGGGCTAAAAGACCGTTTGAGAGACTTCAGCCCAATGCCCTTGTTTCTACAGATGATAAAACTGGGCTCCAAAAAAATTCAGAGATTTGCCTAAGGTTACCCAGCTGGGCAGAGTGAAAAACAAGAACACCCTCCCCTCCTCGCTCCCAGCCTGACTCTCCTCCTTCCTCCTTCCAGGAAATGCCTCTGCAGGAGTTTGTGCGCTGGCTGGTAACGAGATGTTCTTACACATCTACATTCTCCGTGACATCAGCCCCGACATTCTCATGGTTCAGACAGAGGAGCTTCTGAGCTAGATGGAAGGGCGCACCTATTTCTAGCTTTGCAGAGATTAAACAAAGTGACTTACTTGGCACGGGAGGGTCCCGTGGGAGCTCTAGAATTATGACGAAGACTTAACATATTTTCATGCTCCACTTGCTTGACCTGAGCTTCAAGTTTTGAGATCGTTCTGATTCAAAGCAATGAAATAAATATAAGTACATTTCAACAAATTTAAACAGCTCAACTACAAATTACTGATTTAACAGATCCTTCTAGAAAAGGGGAGACAAAGGAGCTGCAAATCCATAAACCTTTTCCCAGTAAAATTCTACCGTTTAACTTTACAAAGCTGACAAAGTAAGGGAGAGTAAGTAGAAAGGAAAGTGCATTAAACTCTACAGAGGAGCACTCATCCTACAACTGAAGGAAAAGGAACAAAATAGATGGACTTAATCTAGCAAGTAAAAAAAAATTATAAATTTGACTATAGATCAAAACATACAACATATAAATTAAATATAAAATAAATTCAAATAAACTGCAATTCTAACATGTTTAATATGTATGCATCCAAGCACATGAAATATATATAGGTAACACTTCCACACAAGAGGAAGCAGGCTTAATTCCCAATAACAGAGCCATTAAAAAGAACTCCTAATTTTAAACTATGCACCTCATTGAATTTGTGCCATGTTCAGAATAAAAGCCTATTTTCAAGTTACCAGCAGAAAATGAGTACTGTGGCCAATTAATTGTCTTGAACATGTCTTGCAGTCTTTGTTCTTTTAAACTTTGCACATGTCCTCAACTGATCTTTTTTCTTTTTTTAATCCTCACCCAAGGATATTTTTCCATTGATTTTTAGAGAGAGTGGGAGAGAGGGGAAGACAGAGGGAAATATGTTTCTCTCACATTGATTGGTTGCCTCCTGCACATGCCCTGAGCAGGGCCTGGGCCAGGGAGGAGCCTGCAACGGAGGTACATGCCCTTGACCAGAATTGAACCCGGGATCCTTCAGTCCACAGGCCAATGCTCTTTTTTTTTTTCTTTTTTCTTAAATAACATATTTTGCTCAAGAGTTTTTATTTTTTATTTATTTTTATATATTTTTATTGATTTCAGAGTGGAAGGGAGACAGAAAGAGAGATAGAAACATCAATGATGAGAATCATTGATCAGCTGCCTTCTGCACGCCCCCTATTGGAGATCGAGCCCGCAACCCAGGCATGTGTCCTTGACTGGAATCGAACCTCAGACCCTTCAGTCCGCAGGCCGACACTCTATCCACTGAGCCAAACCAGCTAGGGCTGATCTTCTTTTTTAAGGTAAGAGTTCCTTACTTCTTTAAAAAAATTTTTATTGATTTTTAGAGATAGAGGAACGAGAGGAAGAGAGATAGAAACATCAATGATGAGAGAGAAACATCAATCACCTGCCTCCTGCACACCCCCTACTGGAGATCAAGCCCCAAACCCGGGCATGTGCCCAGACTGGGAATCGAACCAGCAACCTCTTGGTGCATGGGTCAAAGCTCAACCACTGAGCCACACCGGCCAGGCCTCATCTCATCTTTTAAACTCACATTCTTACCTTTCCCATTGCAAGGAAGGTTTGAAAGAACTTCAGATAAGGCCGCTAACACTGGAACTGAATGAGCAGAGAAAGCCAGACAGCGTTCCTGTCCTCCCTGCGGGAAGTCCTAAAGAGTGCAGTAAAAATCTCCAAATAAGGGACATTACTATCCCCAAATATAGAAACATGCTTAAAAGCCAATTAGAAATATGGAATCATTTGCCACTGGGACAATTTGACTCTATTCCTACCTAATTAAGCAAATCAGATCATGAATATAGTCCCCAAGACAGGTCTTTAAGAAAGTAGATGACCACAAATAGGTGGGAATGCTGTTTTTGGGGGAGCATAAAAATATTCAGAGAACTAGACTGCTTCTTAAAATTCTTTTCAATGTTTTAATATCATTTGGATGTTATCTATCCTGTGAAAATACATAATGTTTGGGGAAATGCGCACCTCTTAGGACCAACCACCGATATTTTCTAATCGTTTAAATATCTTCAGTTACCTCGGCCAGTGTGGCTTAGTGGTTGAGTGTCAACCTATGAATCAGGAGGTCACGGTTCGATTCCCAGTCAGGGCACATGCCCAGGATATGGGCTCCATCCCCGGTAGGGGGCGTGTAGGAGGCAGCCAATCCATGATTCTCTCTCCTATTGATGTTTCTCTCTCTCTCTCTCCATCTTTCTTCCTCTCTGAAATCAATTTTTTAAAAAAGTTTAAAAATCTTTGGCTAATATCAAATGTATTTCTATGTCAGAAAGATTAGGATAAGATCTAAAAATGCTTTCAAATCCTCAAGAAAAACTTTCTTTTCATCACTTTCAAATAGACACTTATTTAAGTGCTAAGAAAACAATTAGCAGTGTTTGATTAGTAAGACAATGCATTTACCTTTTCAAATCAGAAATCTGAGTCTGTGCATCAAGCAATTTGTTCTCGGTTGTATTTAATGTATCCTATGAAAATAAAGGAAAAGTTCAGAAAACTGAAGTTAAGTATTCAAATGTAGTCCTTTTATTTAAAAATGCAAAAATACAAAACTAACCTAAGGCTACACCAGAGAGCTACAAAGAAAATCAAGCAGATACTCAGCACATACGGCCTCCACCAAGCCACAGATAGAACTCCCGGAAGAGGATGGGTGAGTGGACGCTGGTTCACAGACAGCTGTGGGGCCGGGAGGGCCGTGTGCCCTGCTTGACTGGAAATGGTCCAGTGTTAAATGGACACATTTTAACCACAAACCTGACTGAAGTCTCAGTAAATGGCAAAAAAATCCCTGTGGTGATGATGTTTTCAAAGTACGGCCTGGCCCCTGACCCCCGGAATTCCTGGTGGCCGGGCTGGGCAGGCCTTTTCACTAACCTTGAATAATCTCAAGCTGCATTTTACGCAGCAGAAATACTGGGGTCCCCTTACAGCATCATTGTGGGTTTCACTGCATACAAATGGTAGTTTCCCAACAGAGCTTTAATCGAGAATTCAAACATAATAAGTTCAACCCCACAAAAAGCCAATGCTTTGAGAAACAAAACTTTATATTTAAATAGTATTAATTATTTGCATCTGCATGGTATCTTACACTTCTAAAAATTTCATCTCACCTCAAATGCAACAGCCATTCAATAAATATTTGTTAAATTAACAAATCCACCAGACTGTGAGTTACAGGGTAGATATCTAAAAGCAAGCCTACTGACCCAGAGAGGGCAAGTCAGTGCCAACAGCGATGGGGGACAGGGCAGGGGAGCAGGGGGGAGGCCAGGGCCCTTGGCTTCCAGTCCAGTGCTCTGCCTCCACCGCAGCCCAGAACATGAGCAATGAACCGCTATTACCTTCACTCTTTCGTGTTCTTTTCCCAGGGACTCATACTCTCCTAAAAGCTGCAGGAAAAACAAAGAATTGCACCAGAAAATTAAACATAATATCCACCAAAGGATATGCTGTAACAGTGGCTCCCAATGTGGGACACACGCCCCACAGGGGGGCAATTTCATTTTTAAGGGGGACAATTCGAGAATGAGTTATTAACAGTGATTTTTTTTTTGCATTTCTTATGATTCCAGGGGCCTCATATAGTGTGTGTGTGTGTGTGTGTGTGTGTGTGTACACACCCACACACACACACACACACACTAGTAAAAGGCTAAGCAACCATCCGACCGGTAGCTTTGACGTGCAATGACCACCAGGGGGCAGATGCTCAACACAGGAGCTGCTGAGCTGCGGTGCCTTGGCAGTGGTGGTTCTCAGGTGACGCACGCCGGGACCAGAGGGGAGGGAGCCTGATTCCGGGGAGCAACACCCGAGAACTGCCCTCTTGCAATCCGGGACCCCTGGGAGGATGCCAGAGAGCTGGTTTTGGCCCAATCTCTGCAGGCCAGGCCAAGGGACCCCATCTGCCGGAGGGAACCCCACTCACTATGCAGACACCCTTCGAGCTGCAGCACTGCCCAGGGAGGGACTGTGGGAGGTTGGCTCTAGGGCCCATCTCTCCCAGTCCCACCCCGCCAGCCACCTTCTAATTAATTTCCTTTCAATGTGCACAAATCCGTGCACTGGGGCACTAGTAAATATATATGGTGACATATTTATGCATTTCAGTTCTTTATTATGTCTTGAAACTTTATTTGCTATTTTTTCATAGCACTTCATATTATTGTTGAAACAAAACTGTTTTTATCAATTTCAGAGAGAGGAAGGGAGAGGGAGAGAGACAGAAACTTCAATGATGAGAGAGAATCATTGATCAGCTGCCTCCTAAACGCCCCATCCTGGGGATCGAGCCCACAACCCAGCCATGTACCCTTGACCAGAATCAAACCCGGGACCCTTTAGTCTGCAGGCCGACACTCTATCCACTGAGCCAAACCAGCCAGGGCCATATTATTATTGTCTTAACAATTTCTTAGTGATTTTTTCCTCAATACTTCAACTGTCCTTTCGTTCTTTTATTTCTCTCTTTCATGGATGCTTGTTTAGACCGAGTTAATGGCCTTTTAGGCTTCCTCCACGTGACTGGGAGTTCACTTTTTGAATAATAAGAATTATATGTCACAAGGGGGCACCAGGATTTTAGAGATGCTTAGGTGGGGCACAGCCAAAAAAAGGTTGGGAACCACTGCTCTATAAAGTAACTGCCCATACTCTTCAAAAATGCCAAGTCATACCCTCGCCAGTTTGGCTCAGTAGATAGAGGGTGGGCCTGCGGACTGAAGGGTCCCAGGTTTGATTCTGGTCAAGGGCTGGTACCTTGATTGCAGGCTCCTCCCCGGCCTGGGCCCTGGTCAGGGATTATGCAGGAGGCAACCAATCGATGTATTTCCCTCACATTGATATTTCTGTCTTTCCCTCTCTCTTCCACTCTCCCTAAAAATCAATGGGAAAATATCCTTGAATGAGGGTTAAAAAATGCCAAGTCACAACAGGGGAATGTTGACACACAGTTTCAGATCAAAGGAATTGAAAATCCAGGAGAAGTGAAGACAAGGCGTGGCCTGGGCTAGGAACACGGCCATGAGGAACAGTCGGACGCGAGTGCACCATCTGGATGTCTGCGTTGTGGTGACTGCTCTGTGGCTATGAATGAGAAGCCCTCGTTCTCAGGAAATACACCCCGAAAGCTAGAGGTAAAAGGCACGATGTCTATGACCTACTCTCCAATGCCCTGAGAGAAAAAAGATTATGTGTGCATGGCAAGTAGATATGGCAACATGTTAACATCGAATTCTAGGTGAAAGGAATGACAGTTCTTGCAAGTTTTCTGTAAGCTTAAATTTATTTCAAAATAAAAAGTAAAAAAAAAGTAGTATCAGTCAATACCCATTGATCAAAAGATTAAAGTGTATTTGCATTGTTCTGTCTCGAATTGCTGCATAGGATTCCTTGCTAAATTAGTTCCACAGAGTAAGATACCATCCTGAAAGTATATTATAATTAGGTAACTTATTTAAAAATAGCTATGTGAGCCTCCTGGTTAAAGAAGACAAATTTGTCACAGTTTCCTTTTTATCCTGGTCCCACTATTAACCATGGAGCCAGTAAAGAGAACCAGAGGTAACAGCGCAGGTGGCAGGTTTGAACGAAGCCGTAGCAGGGCCTGAGTAAGGGGAGCACATGGCAAGTAGGTGACCCCTTCCCAACCGTGGGGGCACAGACTGAATCCCCGATCAGTGGTGGACAGGGCGGAAGCACAGGGCAGACACACGGACCCGGCCACAGTCCTCGGGCAGAGTGGTCAGAGTCCAGGACCCTCCACGTCCCATACAGCAGCCGACCTCCAGCCCAGCCACTGGACACAGGTGACAAGAACAGAAGAAAATGCAACTCTGGAGCCCACGTCTGACAGGGAAGGAGAGGCGACGGACAGGGTGAAGAGAAAATGACTGAAGGGAGGGGAAGGAAGGCCTATTGCGCAAATCTTCGTGCAACGGGCCTCTAGTCTAACTATAAACAACAACACACATATTTCCAATTGAAGACATCACTGACTAGAAGCCATACCATTACTTTACTTACTACCAGAGGAAAAACGCTGCTGCCGATGAAAATGGACACTGGTGTAAAGCTGCCCAATTCCAGAGCCGTCACAACGGGAAAGAGAAGGCGCCTTAGCATCAGTTCAACATGTGAACCACATTGGGAGAGGGGTTTGCATTGGGAGCAAATGGTGTAAGAAAGCTAAACTGTAATGGTGCACAGAAGGAAGTCATATACTGTCTGATCTGACGGGAACAAGAAAGAATAATGTAAGTTTCCTATTTAGGAACATGGAGGAAAATACTGGAAGAAACAGCTAGAAGAGCTGATGGTAATGGCCTCCAGGGTAGGGAACTCCAAGGTACAGAGAGGGGGAAGGACTTGTTTTTCATTTCCAATTTCGCTACTTAAACCATTTATGTGTGTTTCGTGAAAATAAAATTTAAAACCAATTTGCAACAGCATGGATGGACCAGGAGAGCATTATGCTAAGCGAAATAAGTCAGTTGGAGAAAGATAAATATCACATGATCTCACTCATTTGTGGAATATAATGAACAACATAAACTGATGAACAAAAACAGATCCAAAGACAGAGAAGCATTGATCAGACTGTCAAACCTCAGAGGGAAGGCAGGGGAGGGTGGGGGTAAGGGGGACTTGTATGCATGCATATAAGCATTACCAATGGACAGACACCAGGGGGGGGTGAGGGCATGAGCTGGGGTGGGCGGGGGGAGATAAGGACACATATGTAATACCTTAATCAATAAAGAAAATAAAAAATAAATAAAAAAAGTAACAAGCATCAAACCTAAAGCTATCAGGATGAAGCTTTCCACAGTCAAAATACTTTTAGATTTTTTAGGTACCATGACAAGGAATATTAAGAAAAACTTAAGAGGGGAAAAACACACAACCTGAAACCTACTCCCACGTCAGTGCCACACAAATCCAATTTTAAGTGACATTAAATCCGAGTGAAGAAATTTAAGCAAACCCGTTCTCAATCTTTGCCCTGCCAGACACACAGATGCTGGTTTCAGACCGCTCCCAAGTGGGCCTGCCAGAGACAAAGGATGCGTGGGAGGGAGCGACAGCCTGGTCTCAGAGCTCACTTCCTGCTTCGAGAAAGACCCGCCCTACACCGTGGGAAGGTATATATTTGCAGCTACAGCAAAGTAATGTAAAATAAACTAAACATGGAAAAACTCTTAAGAGCTTGTAAAAGGGCAGAATCTAAAGTTACTTTAGCTGAGCACATCACCAAGTCACTTACATCTTGAAACATTTTGTTTTCCTGTTTCAGCCTGGCGTCTTTGTCATCTGAGAGTTTGTAGGCATTCTCAAACGCTTCCTCCAGATCCTGCAGCCTACACTTCAGTCGAATGATGGTGTTGTCTTTTTCTCTGTTACTTGTTCTCATTTCCTCGATGCGTTCTTGAAGAATTTTGGAGGCACTGCTGGCTGCACTGAGGCGTTCTCTGAAATCACTCTACAAAACAGACAGGACAATCAATTGTCTTTAATAAGAAATAGATGTCTCACCCGCCAGCGTAGCTCAGTGACTGAACGTCGACCTATGAACCAGGAGGTCACGGTTTGATTCCTGGTCAGGGCACATATGCCCAGATTGTGGGCTCAATCCCCAGTGTGAGGTATACGGGAGGCAGCCAAACAATGATTCTCTTTCATCATTAATGTTTCTATCTCTCTCTCCCTCTTCCTTTCTCTCTAAAATCTATTATTATATATATATATATATATATATATCACTAAAAAAATGGATGTTTCAATAGCAGCTAATAAACTGTGAGCATTAAAATATAAAATAATAAAGCAAAACATAAAATGGAAATCAGCAAATTTAATTTTTTATATATTTTTATTAATTTCAGAGAGAAAGGGAGAGGGGAAGAGATATAAACATCAATGAGACAGAACCATTGATCGGCTGCCTCCTGCATGCCCACCACTGGGATCAAGCCAGCAACCTGGGCATGTGCCCCAACCAGGAATGGAATCTGACCTCCTGGTACACAGGTCGATGCTCAACCACTGAGCCATGTTGGCTGGGCAGCAAATGTACTATTTTGCTATAGCCTGGGGTGGAGACCAGAATTATGCTACCATGAGTTGATCATAAAATGTGAACTGAAAACCACTGTTCAAGGCATTCGGATTTTAGGACTAACCTGTGGATCGCTTTAGTGAGGAAAATAACCACGGCTATTAGAGAAATGACTCTGAAAGTACAGCTGGAATTTGTTGTCCTACATTCACATTTAAAACTTAAAAAAAATGCATTCCTTACCCTATTCTCTCACTTACTAGGAAAATAAAATTCAATATGCATGTTACTATTCACTCAATCATTTCCTGAATATCCAGGAGGTGCTGTGCACTAGGGTGGCTAGAAATGAAGATTAACATGAAAGACAAGTTCTGACTTCATGAAGTTTAGAGTGTAGGAGGAGACACAGATAACTAAAAAACATCAAAACAAAGAAACAGTGTATAAAACGTAACTGACACTTTCCACCAAAACATTGTTTATAAGGCTATATGTAGAAGAACAGAACTTAGTACTATATAAAAAAAATTTATATAGTTAAAAGCAAAAGTTTACGCACTTCTTGTTATTTATATGAGAAAATGGAACCCTTGCCCTAACTGGTTTGGCTCAGTGGATAGAGCGTCAGCCTGCGGACTCAAGGGTCCCAGGTTCGATTCTGGTCAAGGGCATGTACCTTGATTGCGGGCACATCCCAGTAGGGAGTGTGCAGGAGGCAGCTGATCGATGTTTCTCTCTCATCGATGTTTCTAACTCTCTATCCCTCTCCCTTCCTCTCTGTAAAAAAAATCAATAAAATATATTTTTTTAAAAGAAAAAGAAAAGAAAAGAAAATGGAACCCTGAACAGGTGGCTCAGTTGGCTGGAGCGGGTCAGGGCACATACCCAGGTTGCGGGTTCGATCCCTGGTTGGGAGAGTACGGAAGACAACCAGTCGATGCTTCTCACATTGATATCTGTCTGTCTGTCTCTCTCTCTCTCTTTCTCTCTCCCACCCCTCCTCTCTCTAAGCATGTCCTTAGATGAGGATTTTTTAAAAAATAAGGCAGACCTAGCCTATTTGGCTCTGTGGATAAAGCATCGGCCTGCGGATGCCCTGGTTTTGGGACTTGATCCCCAGCAGGGGGCGTGCAGGAGGCAGCCAATCAATGATTCTCTTTCTTCATTGATATTTCTCTCTCTCTCCCTCTCCCTCCCTCTCTGAAAGCAATAAAAATATTTTTTTTTAAAAGACGCTAGAACAACAAAAAATAGAATACTTACTTACCACTTCTCTTTCTAGTAGGTTATTCTTATTTTCAAGTGTCCTCACACGGCTAGTGGCTTCATTCAGAGCACCATCTAATTGACCGCATCTAAGACCATAAATTGAAATGAAACAATTGGAAGGTCACGCCCTCTCCCTGACAAGTGTTCTATAAACCTAACCGACTCCCCAGTACAGCACGTAACAAACACCAGCTCTCCACGTCAGCCAAGACTCAGGATGCCGCGTTAGTAAAATGCACCTCAGTGACCTGACGGCAGCAGTGGCAGAGAAAATAAGGATGTAAAAAGACCCCTAAGAAAGATTAAGTCAACAACGCAAGACATGAACAGACACCTCCCTGCACACCCATGTTCACAGCCGCATCACTCACAGTACCAACAGGTGGAAGCAGCCCGTGCCCATCAGGGGATGGATGCAAAGCTATCCCCTTTCGACTCTTTGGTCCTGCCATCCTCCTGGTCCGACACCATGGGAGTGACCTGTGTGTCCCAGATGCCTGTGGCTGAGGGCAAGAGTGTCCAGCAGACCATGGAGCTCCTCACCCTGAAGTTGGAGGTGCTTGGGGCAGAGAAGCAAGGAACATTTTGTGTAGACTGTGAGACCTATCACACGGCTGCTTCTACCCTTGGCAGCCAAGGTCAGACGGGGAAGCTGATGTATGTGATGCACAATTCAGAATACCCTTTGAGCTGCTTCGCCCTCTTTGAGAATGGCCCTTGCCTTATTGCCGACACCAACTTTGATGTGCTCATAGTGAAGCTCAAGGGCTTCTTCCAGAGTGCCAAGGCCAGCAAGATTGAGACCCGGGGCACCCGTTACCAGGACTGTGACTTCCTAGTGAAGGTGGGCACGGTCACAATGGGGCCCAGTGCCCGAGGCATCTCTGTGGAGGTGGAATATGGCCGTGTGTGGTAGCTAGTGACTGCTGGAGCCTGCTGCTCGAATTCCTACAGAGTTTTCTAGGCAGCCACACACCCGGGGCTCCCGCAGTTTGGCAACAGACACGACACAGACTACGGCCCAGCAGATACCATGGTCCAGTACATGGAACTCTTCAACAAGATTCGCAAGCAGCAGCAGGTGCCAGTGGCTGGGATTCGTTAGTGACTGGCAGCTGCATGGTTGAGCTCCGTCACCAAGGGACTCCACAGGAGGCGCAGGTGCTACACCCTCAGGGCTCTGGGCCCCAGAAACCCAGGGTGGACATGGAGGCTTCTCTCCTTCTCCAGTTCCCAGCTGTGGCTTTTGTTCTGGGGCTCCGGACCCCCTCCCCTGACCCTCACACACAGTCCCCTGACAGCTGTTTCACTCCCTGCCTTACTGGACTTGGCCTGTCCTCCAGAACGGTGATTATGAAGAGTGAAAAAAAAATAAAAATAAAAAAGCTATCCCTAGTACGGGGCCATTCTCCCGTGTTCCTACAGCTGTTTTAACAGGGTAACTGTCTGGGTACAAAAAAAGGTGGCGCACTGCCCAAGGGCACTAGCCATCACTTTCTCATCAGGGATCCATGTGTAGCACTCATCTCCCATAAATGACATTCCTTGACACACACAAGGTCTGCTCAACTGTTTCAGCATTCAGCTCACAGGAAGTACCTACGTGCATGTCAGTTATTAGTGTGTTCTAAGAAGCTGGTTCAAATCTGTAAAAATAATTACTTAGGAAAACGTGTTTTTGGTATTAAAATTTTCAAATCTGCCCAGCCAGTGTGGTTCAGTGGTTGAACATTGACCCATGAGCCAAGAGATCACTGGTTTGATTCCAGGTCAGGGCACATGCCCAGTTTCGGGCTCAATCCCCAGTAGGGGGTGTGTAAGAGGCAGCCAATTGATGATTCTCTCTCATCAGTGAAGTTTCGATTTCTCTCTCCCTCTCCCTTTCTCTCTGAAATCAATAAAAATTTTTAAAAAAATTTCAAATCTGAGGCACATGATTTAGAAGTGATTTATCGTCACCATATATTATACTTTGAGGAAAATAATATATCCAACTTGGAGAAGCACTAACAGTTAAATTATATTTTTAAAACTATAGTTAAGCTTTAAGTTTTACCTGTCTACAAGAATTTGATTGGTTTTCTTCCAATCTTCAACTGCAGAAATTTCTTTTGCCTCCAGCTTCTGTTTCAAGCTACTTATTTCTGACTCATAATAAGCTCGAAGATCTGCTATGTGCCGGGCCTGCTTTTCCTTCAGGTTCTGCCTGACGCTGTCGGCAGGAGGGAAAGGCTTGTTAGGAGAGTGTCTCCTCACTCTCTGCCCCAAAAGAACAGTCCTTCTCATGAGCAAAAACACAGCCTTTTCCCTTTGCACTCAGAAAATATAAATAGACAATACGCAAGTTAACCACCAACAAAGTAAAGAAGAAAACAGACATGGATTATTTAATTCTTAGATGGTCTACCTTAAAAATGCTATCTCTGTTTTTAACTTAAGGTTTTATACATTACTGAAATTCAATAAAAACCACTTTCATCATTTAAGCAGACACCACAGAAAATCGATTAGTATTACAGGCCATCCACTGAAATACATACTTAGACAATAGCACAGGATCTTCCAGGGAAGTCAATGAAATGCATTCTGGGACACTGTTGGCTGTACCTGGAAGCTGGGACTGACTGACTGAGGCTGCAGTTACCATGACAGTGTTTTCTTCTTCCACGGTGTTGACCGAGAGGTCGTTACTAGTGACAGTATAGACTGAGGGGAACGTGGAGCTGGTCCTGCTTTCGTTTGGGAAGGCGTGATTTTTCCAAGAGGCCGCTGTTGAGGCTTTTGCACGTGAGGGGCACTTGGGGAACCCGGACAACTGAGAGGTGGCATTGCTTGCTTGCGAGAAGGAGTCCATGTCAGAGCGACTGGACACACTGGGCTCCAGAACAGAGTCTGGCGAGAAGGAGATCCTGTCCTGGAGGGCGTTTAGAAAGCCCGGCGGCTGAGTCCCCACCGTCTGCTCACTTGGCTTCATGTGTAACGTTGGGTCCAGAGTCAGCACCTGGAAATAGGCAGACAGCGTGGTTCTCCCTCCGCACGGGCTGCTGTGGAGGTGAGCAGCCAGGCCTCCCGGGGAAACGCGCTAAAGCCCAGGGAGGGTCGGAAGCAGCTTTGCTCCACCCCGCCGAGTGCGGACCACGTTACCTCGGGCGGATGGTTTGGGCTGGAAGAAGTGAGATTCCTCTCAGGTAACTGCATGTTTTCCCTTTGCTTTTTATGGTAAATATCCTTCAGTGACGGAAGCTTCATCTCATTACTAGTGTTAGCCTTAAAGACACAAAACAATTATTTCAATGCTATTAGCAAGGAAGAAAAAGCTTTCTGAAATCAAGATCAGCACCGTAAGAGATTTTTTAAAGATTGTCAATAAATTGAGCTTTGTGCTGTCAGATTTATAATGAAGGTTTGGAAGTCAAAACCGATTACAATGAGTCTCCCTTACAATGAAAAAGTTTTCCTATCCCCCCAACAATAAATATAAAGGGAATCATCTCAATCTAATTACTTAATGGCCTAGAATACTTCCAAAGAATAAAATCGTTGGACGTCCCCTACTCAAAATGAGGAGGTTCTGAGATAAGACTTGAGAAAGAAGGAATTAAGCAGGACAAGGACACTTCTCGCCAGATTGATTTCCTCACGGGGACATCTGTCAAGAGGTGCAGCTCCTCATCTATGTGGTTATGGCACGTTAGGAGCTGGCAGACAAGAAAAGGGTGTTTCTACAGCTTGACATCGGGCCTCCGCTGCGCTGGAAATACTGCACCGCCGTCTAAGCTCCAAGTGGAAAAACCCGGGGCTCAAATTATTTCGAGGTGGGAGCTAGTGTGGGGTGTGCCGGGTACCACTTAACCTTGTCAAGTGTGACCTTGGCCATTCTGTCAAATGAGACTGAATTCCAGGAGGGACACACTGCCAGTTCATCCTACAGCCTTACCTCACGTCCCATTTCCAGGCCCAAAGTGGCTGCAGGGCACCAGGAACTATATTTTTAAATCAACCCTGTTACTAGCTTGTGAAAAAGAATTCATTATATTATTGTGTGTGTGTTGAAGGTATTAATTTGATAAACGTAAACCCTAAAAATTCTCCGTAATCCCGTTTTAAAACTTGACGGTTTATATACCAACGACCTAGAGGCCCTTAAGACTTACGGACCATGACAAGCAGCAGCTCTCTGGCTCCAGCCTCAGCCCTGCCCGCTGGCTGCAGCTATTCTACTCAGAGCTCACGGTGGTACAAGCTCCCATGTGCCACCACTTTGATGATTTCTCTTCTCTTCATATTGTAACATCTCTGAAATGAGGTCTTGTAACTGGCATCTTGTAACTACTGCCAGTCAAATAGCAGCTGTGATATGTCATTGCCTGCTCTTAAGCAAATACCAAAGCCATCAACATGGCCACAAAGGTGTGCTGAGACGACAAGGAAGCCCGGGAGCCGCTAGGAAGGGACAGGAGCAGGCATGCGCAGCAGCTGTGCCATCTGGGAGTCAGGTCCCCACAGCATCACGGAAGGAATGCCATGTCACGAAGGAAACAGTAGGTGGGAAAACAGATACCCGCGCTGGGATGGAAAAGGAGGGTGAGCCTCTGCAGGTGAGGAAGTCTGAACCAATGTATTTCCCTTACATTTTCCTTTCTAAGTACAGTGGGGCCTTGACTTACGAGTTTAATTCGTTCCGTGATGGAGCTCGTAACTCAAATTACTCGTATGTCAAATCTTAAAGTGAACGAGTGAGACACGTGACGTTGTGGCGTTCACTGTGACGTTCGCTGCGCCAACTAGTGGTGGGGTATCTGAAGCTGGCTCATAACCTGAATTTTAGCTCGCAACTCAAAGCAAAAACTCGGCCGAGAGACGGCTCGTATCTCGAAAAACTCGTTAGTCGGGACACTCGTAAGTCAAGGCCCCACTGTATATATAAGGCTTACATGATAAAAATCTATGTTTAATCACAAGCTCTTTTTGTAAGAAAACAATAGAAATTCTAAGTGCTAAGAAAGCACTGCAGGCCTGGCTGGTTTGGCTCAGTAGATAGAGCGCTGGCCTGCAGACTAAAGGTTCCCGGGTTTGATTCTGGTCAAGGGCACATGCCCGGGTTGTGGGCTCCATCCCCAGTAGGGGGCATGCAGGAGGCAGCCAGTCAATGATCCTTTCTCATCTTTGATGTTTCTCTCTCTCTCTCCCCTCTCCCTTCCTCTCTGAAATCAATAAAAATATATTTTTTAAAAAGAGTTTATTAAAAAAAAAGAAAGCATTGCATCAGTCTAATTGGTAAATTCTTTTTTTGGTAGCCTAACACACAGAAAATCTTCAAATGGATGGCATCTTAGAGTCAACAAATACAGCGTTAATTACTGAGGCTGCAGATCAAGGAACACACAGGCAGCCCTGTAAGCAGAGCCCACTCGGCCTCCCAGCCCCTCAGTCACACGTCCCACCCTTCCTTCCTCCCTGGGGTTATCTGGCTTTTTTGCTCCTTCCTCTGAAGACCCAGTCTGCCACAACTGTCTACGGCTGTCACTCAGGCTCACAGCTCTCCTGGTTACTTTAATGGTATCTCTCCTTTTCCCAACCTACTCTTCTCTCATCACCTGATCAAGACAAGAAGTGAAGTATGTACCTCGATGTGCACATATTGGAGAGTTGTATTTCTTTATTCTGAAATAAACTAAGTATTTACATTTCTTGCTCAAAGAAAATTAATACCAATTAAATTGTTCAGCATTAGAATACAAATGGATTAGTAGGAGGGTGTAATAGGGTACAAAGTCAAACCAGGCCTGAGAGCAGGAGAAGTTTATCTATGGGCCTACTGTATTTATTTTTTTTAAAATATATTTTATTGATTTTTTACAGAGAGGAAGGGAGAGGGATAGAGAGTTAGAAACATCGATGAGAGAGAAACATCAATCAGCTGCCTCCTGCACACCCCCTACTGGGGATGTGCCCACAACCAAGGTACATGCTCTTGACCGGAATCGAACCTGGGACCCTTCACAGTCCGCAGGCTGACGCTCTATCCACTGAGCCAAACCAGTTAGGGCGGGCCTACTGTATTTAAATAGTAGGTACAAAACCACCTCATTTACTTTCACAAAGCACTCATGGGCTTTTTTTTTTTTTTTAAATCCTCACCTGAGGACATGTTTTATTGATTTTTAGAGAGAGAGGAAGAGAAAGAGAGAGAAACATCAATTGGTTGCCTCTCACATGTGCCCCTACTAGGAGGGATCAAACCCAAAACCTAGGTATGTGCCCTGATCGGGAATTGAACCTGGGACCCTTTGATGCACCTGATGATGCCCAACCAACTGAGCCACACCAGCCAGGGTCACTGGGCATTTTTAATCCCACTCTTAAGTAACTTTCCTAAGATCACACAGGCAATGACAGACAGAATCTGAGAGCAGATGACTATGATTTAATGCCCATGCTTTCTTCTCTTCATCGGAAAGTGAAAAACACAAAGTGTATAATGAAGTCAAGTACTTACCTACCATGTGACAATGCAAACACACACACGTTTTGACTTACCGGGCTGGCTGACACTTGGGGGGAGGAGGACGGGGCCAAGGGCTTGTCTGTGACCTCGGGCAGAGAGTGGTACGTGTCCTTCTCCTCCAGTCTCCAGTGTGTCAGGCCTGCGCAGGCACACGGAAGAGAAGCGAGAAGAGACAGAACAACAGTGATTCTAGAGTAACATTTCTACCTAAAGAAAACGAAATGCGGGAAGTAACTAGCCTCTGTCTATCTGAATACGAAAAGTTTCATTGGACGGAAAACAGTTCACATGAATGCCTTACCATGGAAGAGTCCTGCCTTCATGATCCAAGTATTTAAAGTTGAAATATGTTACAAGTCAAGATCAACTAACGTAATTTTAAAAATTTAAAGACAACAATTTCTTTGTGAATAGTACAGACTTATATGGAAGCAATGTAAAGAATTCAATAATTTAAATATTTATTGAGCATCTACTGTGCCAGGTGGGCGCAGGGAGACTGAGACCCAAACAACAGGAAAATCACAGGAAGTTAGAGGGTGGTGAGCACTCGGTTGGTAAAATTTAAAAATCCAGAGAAGGGAATATGTAATTGGGGGTGGGGCAGGTGCTGGTTTTGGACAGGGTTGTCAGGGTTGGCTCACTGCAGAGTAACAATTAAGAAGGAGTTGGCCATTTTAGCCACATATGAGGGGGCAGAACATTCCAAGTTCAGAAAGCAGCCTATGCAAAAGCCCTCCAATGAGAACTTTGTGGACCAACAGCCTCCTTGCCCAAGCAGAGAAAGGCAGAGAGCGGCAGAGCGTGAAATGAGGCCAGAGCATGAGGTCAGAGCGTGCAGGGCAGGCTCTCACAGGCCTCCATAGGCCTCACAGACACTCCAAGGCCTAACAGAGGTTAGAGCCGAGGAGTCACGTGCTCTGACTCATCTCTAACAAGGAGCAGGTGGCTGGCTACTGCGCTGAGCACAGATGGAAAGGTGAGCACAGGGAGGCAGGGAAGAAGTCACAGGAGCCCAGGTGACAGGTGATGGGGCTCCATTAGGGTGACAGCGTGAAGGTGGTTGGGGTAGCACAGTTTTCAGAAGGCAAAGCTAATTCCTCCCGATGAACTGATGCAGGAGTGTGGAAACGAGTCACTATGTAAAACCATTAGAACTAAAGTAGAGAGTGGAGAATGGCTCCCAGAGTTTGCATTTCATTCATTTTGAGGCACCATGAAAATGCTGAGGTCATTTCTGCGCTATTTGTAATACCTGCAGGCTCTTCCTCAACCCCAGGCAGGCGTGGCGCGTGCGGGAAGCAACCAATCCATGTGTGTCTCTCCCCCTCCCTTCCACTCTCTCTAAAAATCAATGGAAAAATATCCTCCGGTTAGGATTAACAACAACAAAAAAGAAAGAAATACCTGCAGAAACGCATCTATCCTGACAGTAGGCAGACACCAAGTAAGGAAGCTACAGCTACCATGCGTTCACTTACAGAGACCACTCTCACACAATGCACGTGAGTCTCCCCGCTGGGAAATGCAGTTGTTATTAAAAAGGAAAAAGGAAAAAAAAATCTTTAAAAAATGTAAGTTTCATACCTGTTCCTGAATCAGACATCCAAAAATTGGGGCTTTCGTCTGGCTTACTGAGGTAAAAAGCATGAGGTGGTGTAGCAGCAGCGAACTCCAACTGCAATTCAAGAGGACAACTGTGAGCTGCCAGCTAAACACCCCAGGCACACACTGCTGACCAAGGTCGAAGCTGGCAGAGACCTGCCAGGGGTCTGTGCACAACGCCTGGCTGGCCCTCTGGTTACAAGAATGCAAAACAACGGGAATTTAACAGCAAATAATTCTCTTTTCCTACATAAGTTAGAAAAGTTAATTTGTGTTTTCTGTGGACCTGAGAGGAGAAAACTGGGAGCAGGGGTTATTCAATGAGTTTGGCAGGAAAATGTGTTAATAATTTGCCATCTACTTGCAAAAGAAATGTGAGGTGCCTAGAATTAAAGTCCTTTGGTATAAAAATGAATGTAAGAGCTATAATAATTCACCTTATCATTCAAACTACATTAAATCAAATCAACTCTGAAAACCACAATAATTCATATGAACTTTAAATAGTAGACTACATCTTTTTAAAAAATATATTTTTATTGATTTCAGAGAGAGGAAGGGAGAGGGAAAGAGAGATAGAAACACCCCTATTGGGGGATTGAGCCCGCAACCTAGGCATGTGCCCTGACGGGGAATCTAACCGTCCATGCTCAACCACTGGCCTCCCTGAGGGTTTTTAAAAAACAATGAAATGAATTACTCTCTGTTTAAATGTGACATTTGCAGTTGAAAAAGAATTAGGGCCTTTACAAAACAGTTCATTTTTTCTAGTATTTTCTCCCTCGTTAGTTTTGATTTCTGGGAAAGAAGCAAGACTTAGGACCAATCACTGCGTCCACTCCTCTGTGCCACCAAAAGGCAGAGATGTCAATGGAACAAACTGACCATGACATTTGCGCAGACGAGCAGGCAGGAAACCCGGAGAGACGTGCCGCGTCACCCACCTTGTCCACCGGCACTCTCTGGGGCTGCTCGGTTCCTTGCGTGGATTGGGGACACCCCTCTTCGGCATGGGCTCCCTTCGGGTGGTTCTGCTTCAGCTTCTGCGCCCATGATGTTATCGCTTTACTACTTAAAAAGAGAAAACCAAAATGACTCTTTAGGCGTCGTCCTTCCCACGAGAAACTAAATACACGCCGACACCGTATCAGTGGAAAGGGCTTTGAGTTGTTTTCTAAGAGCAAAGGGCGGATGGACATTATGGATTCACCTACATTTCTTTTTCCAGTTTCTCATTCCCAAAGGCAAAATGAACTAAAAGACCAACAGCGATCAGCAGTACAGTCTATAGCCGTCAACCAAAGCAAAACCACGCAGCGACGCTTCAAGGTCTAAATCTACCTCTACAGTGAGCACATTTATTCCCATGGACTAATAATACACTGTGTGTGCACAAGACTGGCTGCTCTGGCTGCACACCTTACTTTGTGGCACATTTCAGAGATACAAAACTGGAAATTGAGGGGAATCTACATAATTTTAAATGATTTTTTGTTTTACAAACATTCAGCTACAGTTCCTTTACTAAAAAGTCCCTGGGTCAATCAAAATGCTGTTAAACTTACAAATCTCTTCTTATATATAAAAAGACACACAAAATCAAGTATGCTTGTGTATAATTTTTTTAATAAGATATAAAGTTTATATTTTATATCATGCCTGGAAGCAAGATCTCAACAGTCTGAGAAAAATGCTTCTTGTTTGTGTATAATTTTTGATTTCCAATTACATGAACATGTGTAACAAAATCCCACTGTTGACATAGTCCTATACTACCATTCTGAGCAAGTTTACAGTGCAGGCATTTTTCTGGCAAGGCCTCCTTCTCACCTTAAGGGTTTAGTAGTCTTATAACATTGCAAATGGGAAGAGCCTGGCCCGGGTGGCTCAGTAGTTGAGCATGAACCTATGAACCAGGAGGTCACGGTTCCGTTCCGTCAGGGCACATGCCTGGGTTTGGGCTCGATCCCCAGTGTGGGGCATGCAGGAGGCAGCAATCAATGATTCTCTCTCATCACTGATGTTTCTCTCTCTCTCTCTCCCCCTCTCCCTTCCTCTCTAAAATCAATAAAAATATGTTAAGAAAAAAAAAAGGGAATCATCAGTACATACTGTGCTTTGTTTATTCCAACTTCCACAGGCACTAACTGAAAGACTTTGGTAAAACAGATAAATATTCAAATGCATCTCATTCTATTACAGTCCAACGAAAAGGAGCTTTATCTGCTAGATTCTAAGTGTATTAAACAAGTAAACGCCCCTCAAATGATGCAGAAACTCTACTTACCTACTTGTTTTTCCACTGTACACTTCCAAAATCTTACTTTCACCGAGAAACTTGTGTTCAAAATCACCAGGAAAAATGGAAATGTCTTCCTTCAACGAGTCACTGAACTCTTGGGGAGAATGGATGTAGAAACGCTTGTGCTTTCCACCATCCACAGGAGACGAGGTCTGCACGGCTGGCGCCCCGCACTGCCCCGCCGAAGCCTCCGTGTGCTCCATGAACTCCTGGGGGCCCTTAGACGTGTAGGTGTTTAACTCCGAGACACAAAAGGTCCCATAGCCACTGCTCACCGAGCTGCTGTCCACGTTGCAGTCTGGCTGTGACGGGGAAGTTTCCTGCTGCATTTCAGGCTCTTTGGACTTTGGGTAACTGAGGACAGATTCATTTCTGTCACTGTTTTCAGAAAAGAACCCCATCTGCCTTTCTGAAGAGAGGTGTTCGCTCAGAGAACTTCTGTCATAGGAAGCCCGCGAAGCATTGCTGCTCTGTAACTTGACTAAATTCTTTATTTCCTCCTGGACCCGCTGAAAATAAAAAGTGACGGGTTTAGGTAAGAAAGTATATTAAACATCACACTTTTATAAATGGTATGAAAATAGTGTTCAAAATACGATATGACTCTAAAGATAATCCACATGTTTTATCTTCAGTTTATAAACAAAGTTGATATAAAGTACATATCTTACATCTAACAAGACGTCCGTGTAAATAACAACTTACTTGGACTTGGTTGTGGAACTGTTCCTGCTGGGCCGCTATCTGTTCTTGGCACTGTTTTTCCACCAAGTTGAATAGCTGTAACCACCTGGCCTAATAATTACACAATATTTTAGTTAAAGATCATTTTTAACCTAATATTTCACAGAAAAATTCCTCCAGTAGGACAGGGTCTTTTTTTTTTTTTTTTTAAATATATTTTATTGATTTTTTACAGAGAGGAAGGGAGAGAGATAGAGAGTTAGAAACATCGATGAGAGAGAAACATTGATCAGCTGCCTCCTGCACATCTCCCACTGGGGATGTGCCCGCAACCCAGGTACATGCCCCTGACCGGAATCGAACCCGGGACCCCTCAGTCTGCAGGCCGACGCTCTATCCACTGAGCCAAACCGGTTTCGGCAGGAAAGGGTCTTTTTAACAATGTATTTTTAATGTAAAATTTGTAAGCGGAATTAAATAGTTGTAAAACCATATTTAATGTAAAAATACAAGTTCATAGGCTTGGGGACCCCTTTCTTATGGGGTAAATCTTCATTTTCCAACTGGCATCTTAATCTGATGTTCTCTGTTATCATTTTGGGTTGAATAAGAATGAGTAGGGGCACCTTACAGTTGTCTCATAACTAAGGATTTTCTTAACAGTGACTTAAACTCCCAAAAAGAATCCCACATCTTAAAACAAGAAATCGTTTGGTATTATGAAATTTTAGCCCCTAATTTATTTGTGTAAAAACACCTTTTTATAGTCGGGTATTGAAGAGTTTAAAGCTGTACAGCTGAAAAAGGACTAAAAACCCCCGAGCTGGCCTGCGACCCTTCCCAGCCTGTTTAGGTCCTGACCCACCGGCCTCCCCAGAGCAGCTAGTGCTCCTGTAACTGGCCGGCCGCTGTGCTTTCAGTCATGGACACGCAATAACCTACAACGTCACAGGGGCAGCCATGAACGCGGGCTGCCCTGGGTAAAGCCTCCCAGTGTCTTTCCTACATTCCTTCCCGGCCCTGCCCGATCCGGCCCCCACACCTGCACCCCCTCTCATCCTCTCTGCCCCTTGTTCAATACACACCAGTCGCTGGCTTTTCTGTCTAATCACAAATATGTTGTTAAGACACACTTCCCACCGTCTTTTTCACATTCATTCAATATCATTCCCGTTAATATATCCGGTCACTTTACTTTAGCACTAACTTCAGTGTCATGTGCTACAGGATATCCATTTCTAACAATTCAGACTTACATAGAGGCACATTTGTAGTTATTTTAAAATTCAAAAAAACAAAACAAAACTAGATACCTCGCAGTTTTTCCAAAGCTCCGAGTCAGTCCTCCCGCTGTGCTGTAGCTCTTGCATGAAAGAGGTGAGGGCTTCACCTGTGCCTTGAGTTACGGCCGGTCTGGTCTTCCCTGAGAAAGAGGATACCCCATTTGTACTAAGGTGGGGGCTACTTCTGTTGAAACATAAATAATTCAAATGGTTTTCCTCATTCTACCAGAGTGTTGAATAATTCAGCAGTTCAAGATTTAGCAGAGCAGTACAAACCACTGATATTTAATCCTTCTTAATGGCACTTCATTTGTTGCAAATCTGATTAGAAGTTTGCCCACGAAAGAAAAATAGCAGTAAAAAGACAGACAGCATTTAATTTTTTTAAAAGAACACAACAGAAAGGCCTGTTTCAAAAGTGATAGGATACTCGGAAGTCCCAGCGGAAAACAAAAGTTTCTGCTAAACAATAATAAGCAACACCTCCAGCCCCTCGGATCTAAATTATTGCAGAGGACGGTTTGCCCCCTTTAAGAACAGCCCCTCATTGTAATGAAATTCTCCCCTCCACACCCCCCATTGTCCAGAATGACAGTGGAGTCTTGTTCATTGGATCCCTCTAATTTGGCGTGATAAGCTGATGCTTATCTTTGCACATCTTTGAATAAAAGTTGTGCCAAGCAAATTAGCACCAAATATTCAGGACGAATTTAGCCTATTCAGTGTGCAAAATACCACTGATTCTCTCCAGGAGGACTGCCTTTCCAAACTGGAGATGAGTTCATTTCAGATTTGTTTCATACAAACACAAAAAGCATAATTAAGACATTAACATTTATTTAAATTCCAATCGCTGAAAAGCCATTTTCATTTTTTCAGTGGCCCTCTGCTTTGTTTCACTAAGAATGTGAAAGAGAGAATACTAATGAAAATAACAGCAAAACAGAATCAGAAGCAGAGAAAATATTAATAAAAATTCGAAGGATAGAAGCACAGAATCTGTTGTCCATCAGAGATTTATATTAACCCAATTTGAATTTGGCCAGTTTAGCTGCAGTCGCAGTGAAAAGAGAGGCAAGCTCGGGTGTAATTTTCACTAGAAAGGCACATGTAGGTTGGTTCCTGCAGCAAATCCAACACTAGGTTCCGGAAGTGGGCTTCCCAGGGGCCCCGGCACAGGAAACTAGCGCAGGGCCAGCTTTTGGCAGTGGGTCTAGATTATCAGGCAGACATCTCTCTGGACCACCTCCCACGCCTGGTTTGTTTCCTGCGCCCTCCTTTCATTTATGCTTCCTCCTATTGTGTGTAAAGGCATTTGCCCCTTTAACAGCAGGCACCAGACTGCCTTTTACACTTCATTGTGCCTGCTTTTTATAGCTGACCTCCTCTAACAGTCCCTGCCTCTTTGCTGGTTTTCAGCTACTGTAAATTTAGAAACCAAGTAATCAAGCTTGTCAGACTATGTACACAATCAGAGTGAACAGGCTCTGATTAGAAACAAACCAAACATGGGATCGTTTTAAAAATAAAATGCATTGTTTGACGGAATCTATTTTGTCGGCTTGGTATGAGGTGTTTTTTTTTTTCTTACTTCCTAGTATTCAACTTTAATTGCTTCTTCCAGATTGGTGAGCTATTTCTGCAATATTAAACATTATTGATCATGTTATCTTAAAAATGTAGAAATAGCCCAGCCGGCGTGGCTCAATGGTTTGAGCATCAACCTATAAACCAGGAGGTCATGGTTGGATTCCTGGTCAGGGCACATGCCTGGGTTGAGGGCTTGATTCCCAGTGCGGGTCGTGCAGAAGGCAGTCGATCAATGATTCTCTCTCATCATTGATGTTTCTATCTCTCTCTCCCTCTTCCTTCCTCTCTGAAATCAATTTTTTTAAAAATTGAAATAATATTTAGGCAACTAAATTTTAATGATATTCTTGTAATTTACTGAAAACCAAAAACAGGTATAAAGACCACTGCAACTAGCAAAAACAAGTTCTTTCTCACAGTTCCCCATGCAAAAGTACATATTTCTGGCAGAAATAAAAAACATGGAAGCGCTAAAACTATTCTTATCTGTCCCTGAACAGTTCCTGATCATAATTTTGTTTTATTTTTTAGTGCAAATCAGTAACTATGACACTATTTGGATAAATTGGTAATCTATGCAAATAAGTTAATTTTTGTTAATACATTTTTTAAAAATCTATCTATCCCATTCTTACCTATTAGTACTTAAGTTCAGTCCAAGAGAGTAGGGAGAATTTTTTATATCAGATTCTACAGAAGATGAGGTTTTTTGTAAGGGTTTCACCAGGTCAGCATCTTCCATAGTGGACAGAAATTGTTATGCTCTCTCATTGGAAAGTGTAGGTTCTTTCACTGTCTGAAGAAACTGAATCCGGGTCATCTTCAGATGCTTCATCGTCTACAGGCATTTTCAGTTGCTAACATTCAGAACTGTGAAATATCCTACGTTCCCAAGACTCTGAAAATGAATGGGGGGAAAAATACTACTAAAAAGCCACTAAACCTAGCAACTATCTCTTCGTAACTTTGGCAACTGTGATCCTTTTATACAGATCTACATTTCGGAGAGCAACATCATTTCCAATAGCCAAAATGCAGAAACAACCCAAATACCCATCAAGTGATGAATGCATAAACGAATGTGGTGTATCCATAGAAAGGAATCTTTTCAGCCATAAAAAGGAATGAAGTACTAAAAAAAGGAATGAAGTACTGAGATATGCTACAATGTGGATGAACATGCTACAATGTGGACAAATATGCTACAATGTGGATGAACATCCTACAATGTGGATGAACATTCTACAATGTGAACCATGAAAACATTATAGGAAGCTCAGTAAAAGACCACATATTGTATGATTCCATTTATACAAAATATCTAGAATAGTCAAATCTACAGAGACAGAAAGTAGATGAATGTTTGTCAGGAGGTGAGGAAAGGGGAGAATGAGAGTGACCAAAACAGGTATGGGTGTCTTTTGGGGGCAACGAAAAGTTCTGGAATTACATAGTGGTGATAGTTGCACAACTCTATGAATATACTAAAACCCAATGAATTGTATACTTTAAAAGAATGAACTTTATGGTATGTGAATTATATCTCAACAAAAATATACAATAGGGGTGGTTCTGCAAAATAGCATCATCTTTTCCAGGTAAGATTTCAGAATTGTATGTGTCTAATAATCAAGGTTCTAGACACAATGCTACTAGGTAACGACTTACATGTCCATTTGTTTAATAAATTCTACAAAGCATCCATGCTTATTGATTTACACAGTGAGTAGATGACAAAGAACTCAGTATTTAACTTGGTCTTAAAAACAGCCGATTAAGCCGTTCACCATGGTTGTTTCCCACCGGCTGGAAGGTGGGGTGGAAGGAATGCATTTTGCACTCCACGGCCTTTTGTACCCTGTGCATGCATTACTTCTTTAAAAATAAACTATTTGCCAGATCAACTAAAACTGAACTGACACTAGGTATACAGAGTCAAACAATATGCCTCCTTCTTAGGAAATTCACGTATTTTAAAAACACACACAAGACAAAAAGAAAACCTTGCTGCTCACAAAATGTGAAGTTTAGGGAGTGAGACCGAGAAAAGTAGGCTCCCACTTCCCAGGGCCTGGTTTTCACAAAGCACAACCTCAAACGCGTCATCTCACAGAGGGGAACCGCGTCCTTCAGGGACAGGTGTGGAGGCCAAGGGTCACCGGGCCGAACCCAATGGATTTCTCCCCAGTGGCTTCGGCCCATCGCCGACGACAAATGGGGTATTGAAAACACCGGGGGCTGCGCCTCCCAACTGGCAACGAAAACGCCTGGATGCACATCACCTCGCTCTTCCACCAGAAAGAACCACAAGCTCCCTGGGGACGAGGACCCGCAGCCCATCTCTTCCTCCCCGGCAGAGATCATCCGGAAGCAGGAGATCCAGACGGAAAACCACTTTAAATGAGACGATGCTTCCCCACCAGCGGGGATAAGGGTGAAGGTTAAAGGGGGCGGAGGGGTACCCCGATATGCAATGCAAAATTTTTTTAAGAAAACGTCATGGGGAATAGATAGCACAGAGACAGTTTTATATTTCACAGCAACAAAATATCATGCTTTTGGTTTCTCCCCACCCCCCACGTCCGCCCCGACCCCTATCAAAAAAAAAAAGAAAAAGAAAAAAGAGTTGGGGGAGAAGCGAACGGCTGATGGGGCCTGATGCTGCTATAAAAGTTAACGTGCAGCTTTGCTTTGCTCGGAGCCCGAGGGGGGAAGGGAAGGGGGATTGCAGAGGTCGGGAGGCCGGACCCCAAAGGCTGGTGCGGGCTCTCGGGTCCACGTGAGAAGCCGAGGGAGGACGCACGCAGTCGCCGAACGCAAGGCCGTCGTCCCATCAACTGCGGCCGCGATTCCCCAAGTGAGCGAAGAAAAAGGGGAATTCCCCAAGCCCCCCGCCCCCTGGGGAGAGGCGCTCTGCCATTGGGCCGCGCGGGTGTCACTCAAGGGCACCGACGCTAGAATGGGCGCCCGGCCGCAGGCAAAGCCCCCACACGCCCGAGGGCTGGGGGAGGGCTGCGGCGTGTGGCCGTCGTCTCCCTGGCCCTAGCCCGTCAGCACGCTCAGGGCTCCTCTAAGGCCGTGTCTTCTAAGTCTCGTCCCTCCTGTCCCCCGAGACCGGCAGCTCCCTGCAGGCGGGCGGCCGCTTACCTGGCCGCCGATTCAATTCAGCGTCGGGCGAGCGGCCTCTCGCGACCGTTAAACTTCAGGGAGCGTGCGCGCGCCCGGCGCCTGGCCGGCGATTGGCCGCTCGGGAGGGGGCGGAGACACTGAGCAGCTGCGCGCGCCGCGACCTCCCCCTTCCCTTCCCTCAGCTGGCGGGGGAGACCGAGGTCCAACGCCTGGGAACTGGTGCGGGGCGTGGTCATTGTCAAGCCCTCTCGTCTGATTGGTTCTCTGGCAGCTTTACCGGGAAAAGGCCTCAACTTTCCGCATGCGCAGTTGGTAAGAAGGCGGCTGGGAGCGTCGGCTGAAGCACGGCGCATGCGCAGACGCGAGAGTGTGGTTGCGATCCCTATTCGGCGGTGATTCTGGTTCCCCACCAGGTCTTTGGGGGCGGAGGCCGATCGTGGGGTTGGGTAAGTGTCCGCGGAGAAATCGGGCACCCGCACGGTTACCCACGATTGTCAAGGGCTCTGGAAAGGGGACTGGGAGCCCGGACGCCTTGAGTTTTCCGGTTTGCGACTCTGAGTCGCGCAGCCTGTTGACCTGAGGCCCTGCTGGCGGTGCGGTGGAGCCGGTGCAGACACCTGAGCTGCTTTCCCTGCACCTGGTGTAGCCTAGGCTGCGGGGGGTCGGCCTTGGCGCTCTTCAAGGACCGGGGGGAGGGAGGACAGGAGAGGGAAGCCCACGCCCTGCAGAAAACAGGAGAAATGGAACGGTCCCCGTGGACTTGTTCAGCAGAGCCTGATCGCGCCCGTAGCACGCACGCAGCAGGGCTGTTGCAGGCCCGGCACATAGTAGGTGTCAGCGTCGCTCCTGTCAGAGCTTTCAAAGGACGAGAGAGATCCCGCGTCCCTCGCCGTGGGCCCCCAGCCCCCCTCACTCGCTCGGTTCCGTCCACATTCTTCAAGCTGGTGAGCCTTTCCGGTACTTGCAGCTTTGAGATTTCAGGGCGCAGGGGCTTTGGCTGCCACTTAGAGCTGCCTGAGCGGGCGGGACCTCGGAGCTGTGCCTGCCCTTGGGACGAGGCCGCCCATCGCATCCCAGCCCCCCAAAAATCCGTAGCAATAACGTTTCAGCCGGAAAGCACCCTCCCAGACCTTATGCGCGCCTGGAGGACGGCAAGCTTAAATGAATCGAACCCCCACCCACCCCACATTGTGTTAATCCACCCGCCGATATTATGCTCGTGTTGATACCTAACCAAAGTCCAAATTATTATTATTTTTTAAATATATTTTTATTGATTTTTTACAGAGAGGAGGGAGAGAGATAGAGAGTTAGAAACATCGATGAGAGAGAAACACCGATCAGCTGCCTCCTGCACACCCCCTACTGGGGATGTACCCCCAACCAAGGTACATGCCCTTGACCGGAATCGAACTTTGGACCCTTCAGTCCGGAGGCTGACGCTCTATCCACTGAGCCAAACCGGCTAGGGCCCAAATTATTTTTTAATGGTGCTTTGATTTCATTCTTTTAAATGTGTTTTTATTGATTTGAGAGACAGAGGAAGGGAAAGGGGAGAGAGAGAAACATCCAGAGAGTAACAGGGATCAGCTGCCTCCTGCACGCCCCCTACTGGGGACTCTGCTCCGAAACCCAGGTATGTGCCCGGACTAGGGATGGAACCAGCACCCTCCTGGTTCGTGGGTCCACGCTCCACCGCTGAGCCACACTGGCAGGGCGGAGTCTTTAAATTGACAGCTTTATGGCGGAGATCTTTCCGCCTTTTACATTGACTGGGATAAGATCAGGCTATTCGGCAACAGTGGCCGCTAATAGCTAGAAAAATGTAGTGCCTGTTAACCAGGGGGTTATTTTGTGTCGTTGGTTTTTATATACAAAGTTTGTCATCGGGGGACCAGTTCTCCACAGCAAAAGAGGAGGAACTCTAAAACTTTAAATCTATAGTTTACTCATTAAATATGGAAGGAAGTGATGAGGTATACATTTAAATACGGATTTTTTTCATCTTTCCCGAGCTTCGTGACTTTTCTTACCATATTAGGTAATCCCTAAAGATCTCTAAGTTTGAACCAGGCCTTGTTTGATGAAGGTGGGTTTTTATCTTTCCATTTGAACCTGCGGGGAAGTCCAGCTGTGTGCTCCTGGCATCATAATTTGTTCCTTAGCACCTGCTTTCCTGGACCACAATTATGACCTCACCTAACAGTATGTCTTTGGTACTTTCAAGGTTTCCAAGTACTTCTTGAATGGGACCATCCCCAGTAAAATAATGAGCAGGTCGCTGTTCTAGAAGCCTTTTCGCTCTGAGCTCTAATCAAATAAACGTCCATGAAATCGTGAGTTTGCAGAGTGGGTCTGTGCGCTGAGACCACAGTGTGTGTGGTGTGTCACGGGTTGCTGAGCTCCGTAGTGTAGGGATCCGAAGTGCTCGCTGCTTCACATTTGTGGCGACGTGTGATTTTTCTCACCCCAGCTGGTACTACTACCTCCGTCTTACAGATGAGCAAACATGGCCGGAGTTGCGTAGAGAGTTGAGACACTGACACAGGTTGCGCTGACTACAAAGCAAGATAGCCTTTCAGGGGCCAAAAAAATGAGAGGAAGAGTCAAGAAGAGAAAGTTGAGGAAATGAGCTAACACTTTAAGGAGCTGGGGAAAGGACGGGTCTGGAGATGTTACGAAAGGTAAAGAAACAAGCTGTAGAAAGGACCGATTTAGTTTAAAATATGGACCAGCTGCCCTGGCTGGTGTGCTCAGTGGTTAGAGTGTTGGCCTTCGAGCCCACTTAGGGTCAGGAGTTCGATTCCCGGTCAAGGGCACGTACCTGGTTGCAGGTTCGATCTCCAGCCCTGGTCAGGGTTCCTGCAGTAGGCAACCAATCAATGTGTTTCTCTCACATTGATGTTTCTCTTTCTTCCCCCTCCCTCCCTCCCACTCTCAACAAAATCAATGGAAAAAGTATCCTCAGGTGAGGATTGGGGAAAAAAAGGGGCAGGGGGACCACCAGCTACTGTTCTTCCAAGATAAGTCTGAAATAACACACATAGTAGGCATCGCTTTATTTGTATCAAATACACTCCCACTTGAAAGTGCCTTTAAGACATTTAAGTCCCAGACAAACAGAAGCCATCATTATGGTAATAGAGGCGTGAGAATTTTCTAGGAGAAAATGTAGAGGATGGTTATTGCTGGTTTTTTATGTGCTTCTGTCTCATTTTAACAGCCTGGGTGTAAGTTATAAAGTCCCTGTTAGATGCCATAAACAGAAGACAATCATGGTGATGCTCATGAATAGGACGGGTGTCATTCTCCATGGGGTCAGAGGTTTCTGTTTAAAAGAAAAACTGGACGGGACATTATGGGATGAATGGAAAGCTTTTCTCTTGATCTGCTTCATTGTTGCCTCTTGAACCGCAGCAAGAAGCCTATTAAACTTCGACCAGACCTAGAGTAGCCTCTCCCTCTTCCCCCCAAATCCAAGATGATAACTGCATTTCCTGCTCAACCCGTTATGCTTGTCTTCTTGGAGAACCAAGTCTCTGTGACACTTCCTGTGGGAGAGGCGCTTCATCCTCAGGGTAAACCGAGCCACGGAAAGGCCAGGGTCTGCTTCGGGCCTGAGCCGGCCCAGTGGCTCCATGTGGGAGGGGCTTGTTCTCAGAAGGGTTCCAGGCAACTAGAACAGGAGGGTGAGCCGGTGGGAAAGGCAGAGGGAGGCTGCTCGATCTGACCTCCCATTCTGCAGGGAGCACCAAAACTCACCTTTGCAACATGAATTAGCATTAAGCATTTCTCAGAATCCTCCTCTCACGGAGCCTCTGGTGCCATCAGCTGGCCATTTTGACTTTAAAGCTGCAAGGTTGCAATCAGCCTTTTCAAGCTCACTGGACTTGGTCTTTGCCCATTGTTCTGAGACCTGTCTTTTTTTATTTTTTTCATTGATTTCAAAGAGGAAGGGAGAGAGGTAGAGTGATAGAAACATCAATGATGAGAGAGAATCATTGATCGGCTGCCTCCTGGGGATCGAGCCTGCAACCCAGGCAGGTGCCCCAACAGGAAACCTAACAGCAACCTCCCAACTCATAGGTCGGCGCTCAACCACTGAGCCACGCCAGGCAGGGGCTGTTTTGCTGTTTTTGATGGGACTACTAGGACATTTAGAGTCCACACGTGGCTTACGTTCTGTGTGTACCAGGCAGCGCTGTTCTAACACATGAATGCATGGGAGCCAGCGTTTCGGGGGTTCGTTCTCCAGGTGACCCAGCTTCTTCATCCCCTTGTTCCCATTTCACCTGCTCTGTGAACTCAAATCAATAATCGTTTCACTCTTTTCTCTAAGTAACTTCACCCTGCTCTCTCCTTCCCACCTCCTCCGTCTCTTTAACGTCCTGATCTTGGGGTTTTCACCCTGCAGGTGGGACACTCCGACAAGCCTTGCTCAAAGCCCTTACCTGGGCCCTTGAAGTGTGTCTCCTGGACCAGCAGTACAGCCTCCCCTGGTACTCCCCTGGTTAGAAATGCAGAGCCTCGCCCGGCCAGAGCGGCTCAGTAGTTGAACATCAACCTGTGAACCAGGAGATCACAGTTTGATTCCCGGTCAGGGCACATGTCCTGGCTGCGGGCTCAATCCCCAGTGTGGGATCGATGATTCTCTCTCATCATTGATGTTTCTATCTCTCTCTCCCGCTCCTTTCCTCTCTGAAATCAAATTTAAAAAAAATTTTAAATGCAGAGCCTCAGGCCCTGATGACCAGTATCTCCTCTAACAAGGTCCCCAGGGGAGTGAGTGCACCCGACAGGTTGAGTGGTGAGGACTTAACCCCCGTCTTTCCTAAAGCCCCATCTTGGGTCCTCGCCACGTCTGCTCCTCCAGTTCGATTTGAGGACACTTCTGTGAGGTCAGGACGAGGGGCACCTAATAGAAGCAGGTGCAGGCCCTGCAGGTGACTCGGGCCATAGAAAAAGCGTGAGAACCACAGCTCCCTGGCAGGTCATCCATTCCGGCCCATCCTGATGGACATCTTACCTTATCTTTTATGCTCCAGGCCCCTGGGGCTCCCCATGCCCGGGCCTGGCTCC